TATTTACTTTTATTTTCTTTGTCTCACTTTAATTTAGGAAGCAAAGAAGGGACCTAACCCGCTCATGAGACGTAATAGCGTTACCCCTCTAGCAAGCCCAGAGCCCACCAAAAAACCTCGCATCAACAGCTTTGAGGAGCATGTGGCTGTTTCTTCCGCCCTGCCAGGCTGTGTTCCTCAGGAAGTGCCCACGCAGATGCCGGGACAAGTTAGTTGAACTCTCTTTTTTTTTTTTTTTTCTTTTGTTGTTGTTCTCGTTGTTTCGTTTGTTGTCCTCCTGTCACTCCTGAAGCTGAGGAACTGCTTGCACTTGCCACAACCTGTGCTGCTGTCTCTGAGATGCATCTTCCTCCCATGGCTGCTGTCCCTCCCTGCCTTGGGCTGGTCTCGGGAGCGCCCGGCGAAGGGTCCCTGTTGATCCTCTCTTGGGTTTTGAACGCATCATGAACACTCCCACAAAGTGTTAATAATTTAGTGCCTTTACTATCCAGCATCGTGGTGTCAGCCTCCCAGGGAGCTACATTTCTAGAGGGAGCAGGACCAAAGGGCTCGTGCCTTCCCCTCTGGGTGTGCTCCCCTCCAGTGCAGACCTGGGTGTTGCAATAAAGCCAAATGTTTTTGTGCTTCCCTCGAGACGGAGCTGCCGAGACTCGTCTTTGGCTGGAGGGATCTCCTTCCTGGAACAATAGGCAAAATGGACCAAAATTAAGTAGAAGTGATCTTGGTGTGGTGAATCTGAGTGAAACCCTTTGGGTGGCTGCCGTGGTGCTCATGTACCCTCTCCTCTTTCACCTGCCCGTGAAGAGATGTAGGAAGAGAGACCTTGCTGAGTGCACGCTTCTCCAGGAACAAACTCCCTCCCCTGAGCTCATTAAGGAACTGGGATGGTACTGGAGAAGCAGCATGGGAGCTGCTTTGCCATGCTGCCCTTCCCACCAGCTGCCTGTTGGACCTCACTGTCTTGCCAAACCTCTCTTTCTGTTCGTGTTGTCTGGCATCCTCTTGCCCCTTGTCAGCCAGATCCCGGGCAGGTTAGGAATGGTTCTGCGCTCCCCAATTGCTCTGCTTGGTGGCTGCTTTGCATGAGCCTCCCACCCCAGCAAGCACCAAGTGGGACAGCCCAGTCTGTCTCTCAGCTTTTGGGGTCTGCTTGGGCCGGTTGAGACCTGCACAAAACCCTTTGCTGGCTCCGGGTTTGGAAGCTCTGGCTGTCGGGTGCCATCCGTTGTCCTCTGCCCAGTCTGGCATGGCGTTACTGACACCTCTCTCTCCGTTCTCTCTGTCTCTCTGCAGCCTTTACTAGGGAAGGCATGCCTGTAAGTACCTTCTTGCGTCTTATTCCCCCTTCCACCCCTTTTCCATGTCTCTTGCCATCCCACTGGTTGTTTTGTCGGGAAATCTGGCTGGGGCGTGGACTTCCTGGAGTTAATATTTCTGTTTTGGGGGGGGTTTTGCCTTAGGAAAGGTGAAGAGGAGGCAATGGATGCTGCTTTATCCAGCCCCTGAATATCCTAACTTGATTAAATGTGCCAATTTTGTTGTGGAATGAAGCAAGTTATCACTTGCATTTTGTTGATGATGCCTACATTTCCTGGACAGTAATGGGATGGTTTTCCTGGATTTTCCTGGATTTGTCTCGTTTGTGATGGCAAATTGTGCTGTAGGTGACAGGCCTGGGTGGTCTGTCCTTCCCCAGGGCTCAGAGTTGTGTCTGTGAGTGATGGCACCAGAGGGGTATCGAAGAAGATTCTGACCTTCTCAGGAGTGTGTCTTCTGGAGCTGGAGTGGTCCTAGGACCAGGCATCTGCAGTTCTGCAAACCTGGATTTTGGGAACAGTCAGCCCAGATGTCACGGGGCAGAGTAGATGCAAATTGTCCTTCTTTATCTCTATTTAGAAAGCTAAAAACCTTGAGCATTTAATGTATTAATTATGAGTAATCAAGACTTTGACAATTTGGTTTAGTGCTGTTAGATCCTTGAGTGATAGGGTCAGAACAGCTTCTGGGTAAATTTGAAGCCTTTGGACTCAATTTGTGCTACATCACTGACTTGAGAGTGCAGCAGTTGTTGAGCTGGGCTCAAATGTCTTCTCAAAGACTGAAAAGACTTTGGGGCTGAGTTGGGACTGGAGTAGTGCCCAGTGGTCTTCTAGAGTAAAAGTTTTCTCGAAAAGGGAAGTTAGGAATTCGTTTGGCTTTGCTGGAGGTTGGATTGGGGAAGATCATTGTGCTTCTAGGGCCAATGTAGAGGATGAATTGCTCAGCATGGTTTGCATGCCTGTGCTCCTTTCTTTGCTGCTCATGGGCACAAAAGTCTCTGATGAAATTTTGGGTCTTCTTGGGTTGCTTTGAATGCGTTTTGTTTTTTTTTTTGTTTGTTTGGTATTTTTTTTTTTTGGTCCATCCCCCTCCATCCACCTATTCCCTGATCTGTATTGCAATAAAAAGCACTGCATGCCTCAGTGCTGGCTGGGGCACTGAAAACACTCCTTGGTGTTGAGTTTGGGGGGTGGCTGTGTCAGATATAGCTGGACCAAGAGCTCTGCTGGAGCAGGCAGTGATGGTTGCCCATCCCAGGTGTAGGCTGGCAGCAGCAAGTTTAAAATCTCCAGCTGCTGGGAGCTGCCTTCACCTGCTAGTCTGGGACTTCCAAGGAAAGGCTGCTTTTGTGGGACCCGGGAAGACTCCCCAAACTAAAGGCTTGGTGACATGTACGCTGCTGTTAACTCTCAGAGGCTGTGTGTGTCTTACATTTGGTCACTCACTTTGTCCCATCACCACCTGTATGGGGTCAGGGAAGGTGGAAGGTACCTCATTCCCAGTTTGCACCAGGGAACTGGGTTGGCAGTGGGTGTTTTGTTGCATCAACCTTTGCTACTGGGGGTCTTGATTCCCATCCAGGAGGATCAGGGGACACCTGGAGAGGCAGGTGATGTGCCTGTGGGATTGAGCTGGTTTGGGGTTGTGGGACTACCTGCTGTGATGATTTCCTTTTGCTTGGTTTGTGATCCAAAGTGCACTTTTTTTAACAACCACCTGATCCCCTCCCTTCTTCTCCCCTTCACTTTTCATGCTTGAAGAAGACCCGTTTGTCACTTTCTCAAAGTTTTCTCTTTACTAATATTTCCAAGGTAAATGGCTCTGGTGCATGTGGCTTTTCCTGACCCTCCTTCTGTCTCCTTAGATAACAGAGAGAGCAGCTCTGCCTTGTAGCATGACTGGGATTCCTGGTGCTTTTAAGAGGCAACTTAGGTAGAAAAAGCAAATCAAATTAAAAAAAAAAAAAAAAAAAAACCTCCTCCAAAAAATTGAAGCCTTCCTAGCTGTTTCCTAGTCCTTCACTCCCCTACCCTGTTTTGTGTAGTTTTGTGAGTTGAGAAGTGTCCTTGTGGTCATCTCCCCTGGGTTTCTCCTTGAGCAGATGCTTTCCTTGGGCCTGGTCCTGCTTGTGTTCAGCTGATTGTCTCTGGTTTTGTGGTTCCCACCACACACTGGTGGGTTCCTGTTGTCACCCTGTATCAGGGCTGTGTCTAGAGCGTCTCTAGGGCCCATGAAACCTCATGGGGTTGTCACTGGGGGAGTGTCTGCTCCTGCCACACCACTGGTGGTGGCTGGTCCCCATGCTGGGGACCTTCTTGGCATGGCTGGTGGGAGTTGCCTCTTCTTGTCAGTGCCAAGGATGGACAAACAATGACCTTGCCCTTGGCAGGAAGGGGGGACACTACCCACCCTCAAGGGGAGCAAGAGAGATGTTTAATTCGGCTCCTTGGCTGAACACCGTGGTCCTCTGTCACCTTGCCTTGCACGGACCACAGAGCAGCTTCAGGAGTGCGAACCAGGTGGGGTGGGAGAGTTGCCTTGGATTTAGCTCAGTTTTTAGGGATGTCTCTGTCAAGTTCCCACCCTGTAGTTAAAGCCAGGCGATGCTTGAGGGGGTAGATGTGGGAGGCCAGTCAGCATATCCTCCCCCCACAGAATCACAGGATGTTGTGTTGGAAAGGACCCACAAGGATTGTCGAGTCCCACTCTTAAGCCAATGCCCCACACAGGGATTGAACTCACTTCCTTGGTGTTTTCAGCACCGTGTTCCAACCAACTGAGCTGATTTCAGGGTCACCCCTCTCCCTGGGTGGACAGTGTCCTCTCCTCTGCTTCCGTAGTGACCTGTGTGTGGCTTTGTTACCCCGCACTCCATCCCCGTGTTGATGTGTATGTAGAAGACACTGCAGGTCTGACCCAAGTTCAACCCCTTCTCCTTCCCCTCTCGTTCCAGAACATGAACAACTCGCAGAAGCCGTCGTGACTCCGTTGGCACTGTCGCGAGGCCGCCGGCGACGCCAGCTTCCCATCCCACCGCCGTTCCCGAAGCTTGCTTATCCACCGGTCTCCTCCCCGTCTGCGGCGAGGGCGACCCTCGGCTGTTCCTGCTCACGCCCGTTCATCCGCAAACCGCTCTGCTGCGGGGGGGAGGGATGCAGGAGAGCGGAGGAGAGGAGCTGAGCTCCCCTCCGGAGGGGTCACCACCAGCTCTTCAGCTGCAGCGTTTGCTCTCCTCTCCAGCGTCCTGTAGGGTCCTAGCGAAGCTGTAAAGTGCTTTCTAGCGCACAGGAGTTTTAATTTTTCCTCTCTAAGCGGTTTTGATCTTCTGTATAGATGATTGGTACCCACCTGTCTGCGGGTGGGGCGTGTATATATGTGGATGGTGCGGGGAGAAACAGGGGGAAGGGAGGGTGGGCAAAGGGTTTTTGCATTATATTTTTTTTAATTATTATTATTATTATTAATGATTCTTGATAAGCTCCTCCCAAGCTTTGCTGCAGTCCTTCACCCACGCTACAGCCTGTCGCACACGCCAGCCCAGCTCACCCAGGTCTGCGAGCACCAGGAAGGCAGCTGTGTGAACTCCTTCACTGCTGGGTTTAACTCACAAACCCCATTCTTCCTTTTTTTTTTTTTTTTTTTTTTTTTTTTTTTTTTTTTTTTTTTTTTTTTTTTTTTTTTTTTTTTTTTTT